ACAGAAGTTGACTTCAAAATGATTCATTTGGGTTCATGTTGGAGTGATGGGAGTGGTTGTACTGGAAATCGGTACTAACTAGAAATAGGCTGAAATCTGCACACAATCTGTAAAGATGATCTCTACTGTCCTACATGTGACTGACTAGTCACCATTTTCTACTGAAGCAACTCTTGGGTGAGCCTAGTGTACTGGCATGAGTATCCATTCTTCAGTTATCCCTACGGTATATATTGAGCACACTTGGCTTTCAAGAATGCAGTGACTGTACTGGCGATTGTTACCAGCTAGAATTAGGTTGTAATCGACACACAGCAAACTTGGTTTCAAAGAACACCTAATTGACGATAGATTTCATGCTCACCTGCGTTCAGATTGTTGTCAGTCAGTAGGAACACAGGGAGACTTGATGAAGAAACATCGTTCCCACTCCCGGAAACTTCCCATTCTAAATAAACCTGCGAGAATAACACCACATTGCCAAGTGTCAACTGACACCCAGTTGACCAGTGCAATCCTGGCATCAGTACCTAGTGTAACACCGATACCTGCAAAATTGAATGTCAAAGTTGCACTCCACGGATAAGCACAAGGCAAACACAGAGCTGACTGACAGAGAGGTTATTCTTCAAGTATTTCACCAACGACTTGCACACCGGTCTCACGGATACGTCATGACGAAGGCTATTAAGAGTCATCACCAAACCTATACGTCATCTGATGATATGCATCAGTATCTTAATGCCCGATAGGCATAACTTCAGATCACCTACACTGGACGACAACCATCACACTAATGAATCGAAGGAGAGCAACATCAACACTCCGACCAATAACAAGTATCCGCTTGAAATAGAGATACACATGCAACCCAAGTTTGAAGTGATAACGAAGGAATGATCAAATTCATACGCAACAATGATTCGATGGCAATACATCGAATGATTGAACATAAAGTTGTCAATTCATAAAGTAGGGCAACTTGAAAGTCGATCGGGCCCCAGACTGACTGATGTATCTTTCTGAGATACAGCCCAACTTCTGACTTATTTTTGATCTCTGCTGCCTCATGGCTTGGCCAAGAAATGCTCAACGTTACACTCCTCTCTCATATTTTCTACATAAGATGAATAACGGCAAGCTGTGCGCTTGAATATGCCTTCCCTCCAACGCACAACTCCTCTTGTTTTGTAGGAAAGGCTGGTAGCTTGACTGTATGCAGGCTAGCTGAATCAGACTTCAAGTTCTCCTAGATAGAAGTTTCTCAGTTAACGTCGAGTAGTTTGACACTAAATCCCTCTCAATAACTGGATGTTAGTTAATATACGAGACCACACGTATAGTTCTCCCTAAATACGGTATCTGCTTCCCAGATTCTGGATTTCATAATGATCATATTGTCTGGAACGCTGGTGAAATCTTCAGAGCAATATCATGCAGTCACGAGAAAATATCATCAGAAGTTATGCAGTGCTGATTTTTCCACCATTCCACGACTTGGACTAGCTTTTAGAGTTCGACTAACATTGTAGTGGATACTACTTTCATTTAAAACCCGTGTCGCCTACTCTTTCCTGTCCAGAGTGCTACTTCATTATTTAATGTCATGTGCTTTATGCAAGATGGTATTCTTACTTCCAAAGAGCCGTTTCGGAGTAACTGTGCTTCTTTAGGTTCATTTTAGTAACCGAATATGCTTCAAATATCTATCGTGAATGTTCGTTTTTAGAGATTTTAAGTAAAATTAATCTCTTTTACTGCATTATTTTACACCGTTGATCATGTTCATTTAGGTACATTAATGAGTGTTGGAAGGGTGATCAAATACATACATACTTCGTCATATTTGCTACACAATTATCTATCTCTTGATTTGAAAAGTAGAATGTTTTGAGCACAGTAAAATGTGAACATGTTAGCTTTCTCTCTCTAGGGAGAGGAACTGTAGTTGTGTTTTTGCAAAGGCTTACTTAATGTTTTCTTGTTTCATTAATATTGCATTTTCCATGTAGTTACTGCCGTTTATTTATTCCACACACTTTTATGAATTTATCAGTCGCTTCTAGATCTACCTTCTAAGCTCAGATGGATTATTTTCTCCAAAGACTTCATGGATGTATAAGTACCAATCGGCCAATCGTTTTCCTTAGGTTGATTTTAGACTGAATTGCATTTGTGATAGTTGGGATCTATAATGTTTAGTGACACTGGTAATGTTCCTTTAAAGTTTTATCAATTTATAGAATTTCATAGTTCTGAGCGAATCTTGATATCATTAGGTCGATGTGACAAAGTTGACACTCAGGGTTACAGAATCGTATGGAATTCGTTTTGTAAAGAGAAGTATACATGAAACAAATATAAGTAGTTGAATAGCTTTCATATTGATCTTCCTAGCCAGACTCCAATAATCTAAACGCTGAATACTTGATTCACTAGCTTTTTTACTGAACGCGTGATACTTGTGTCAGGAGATTGTAATCTGTAGACTTGGTTGAGTAATTTCCAACAGAAACTACAGTGGAATACATTTACGAAATGCTTCAATATGTTTCACAGATATTATAAGAATTTGTAATTTATTCAGAGAAGTAGTTTTGCTGATTCCTAAGAGAGCCATTAAAATTCACTTCTTCAAGAAGCAGGATTTGAAAACATCTAGAAATGATCGACTAAGTGTACTTCTTTTTAAAACACTATGGCCATGTCGTTTTATAGCGAAGCAAATAGTTAGTATGTTATAGATGTAGCTCTGCAACCTTTTTTATTTATTGCGATATATGTTACCCGTAATTACAGGCTAGTTAGGGTGCTTATGGCAAGTATCATGTGCTTGCTATCTATATTCCTGTTGACCAGTTTTTCCTTTCAAGCTATTTGTCTAAATCATCTCGTCAAATAAGTTTTTTGTAATGCTTTGGAACCGAAACTATGAGCTAGTCAGTATAGCCACTTAATATTAAATAAAACTAAAAAGGAGATATTGGAATATCTGAAATTCATTAAAATATAAGCGCCTATGAAACCATTCGTAATCACAGCATAATGTGAGAGGAAAGTCAATCAGCTTGTCATGACTCATTTGAACGTCAAATGTGCATAACTGGTTAGATTTTTGTGAGACAGGGAAGCTTGATGAGTTGTTTATCACCATTTTATTCAATGTGAAGGCATGCCACTTATTTATGATTTTCATCTGCATCTCATACAATTTTCCTAACAGTACTCCTAGAATGCAAAACTAGTCAGTACACAATTCAGATCATTATTCATTGGTTCGGCAATTCAGCCATTTTAAACACAGAAGTGAACTAATCCGCAATATAACTTGATTTAACAATTGCTTTTCATAATTATAAATTACATTCATGGAGTTGTGTACCCAGTCTTAATACGACTAATAAGAGTGAACAGTATATAAGTCAAACAGTTTGACGGAATAAGTGTTTAGTGATCACTAACTTTGATTCATTATCTGCCTGATAATTGTGTGCTTCAGAAACTACCTTCGGAAGCATGTCTTGGGTTTTAACAAACTGAAACATATGCTGAAATGCGATAACGCTAAATGAATTATTGGACTTAAAACAGCTGATTTTTGCCTCTGATTGAGACGATAACTTCAATGCTTTCTCACCACCGTGGCGTTTCTTACATCTTGCTGATAAATATGACTTTAACTTGGTTATGACTGCTCACATTTTCGATTAACCAAGATAAAGTGAATAAAAGACGTAATATTAGAAGTTTTTTTAAGGTTTATACCTAACGCTGCTCGCTTAAATCTTTGAATGTGGGAAGTACACACGAAGCGATAGATAATTACAAATACTCAATGAAGTCATTTAGATCATAAAATGGTTAGCATACTTTACGACTGAATGACTGTTACTTAAAGTCGATTGTGACTGGAAGAATAATAAATAAATGGAACAAAATCTTATAGGAATGATTAAAAAGTGACATCATACGAAAAATCCGCATATATTACTGAGGCACAGTCAGTCCCGTCTTGTTATATGGCTGAGACATGGCAGTTGAAGTGGAGGATATAAACCGATTACTTGGTTTTAATCATGGGTTTTTTCATAGTGTTGCTAATGCATGGTGGAGTCATAATGTGAGCAATGTTGGAATCGGGCGAATGATACTAGGCAAGACAGGCAAGTCGACTTATGAGGTTGTGAACCTTCATTAGCTTAGGTGGCTTGAACATGTGTTGTAGATACGATCCACTGGCTGCGTTGATGTGCCAAACCGGGAGAAGTTGGATTGGGTTGGAAGAGTGTTCAGGGTGATCAGACAAAGATGTGGGGCTAGTCGATGAGGTTTTTTACTTCTGCTCTGAGCCGAGTGGGAATATGTTAACTGCCTGGCTCGGGTTCCCGCGACGAAAGGAACCAGTGTTTGAGGACTTTTAGTGACACGGCTGTAAATCGATCACAATGGCACAGATGTATTCACTTCTTGACATCTAAAGCTGGAATATTTGCGCCAAATGTGATCTTGAAGTTGTTTAATTTCTCACATAACTTTTTCAACTTTAAGACTACTCTTTTCTATAATACTATGATGTGTGGTAACTTGAAATGATGAAGTTATATCCCGGGTTTTATGTTGGTGTTCTCTGTCTTTCTAACATTACTTGAGTGACTTTAGCACCTCTTTTTTCGAAGCAAGACGACGAGATGTTCAACAGAAAATGAAATTAAACATATTAATAATCTTCAACAATTTCAAGAATGTATTCGAAATGTCCATCACTTGCTTCCTTTTTTGACTGATGTATATTGGCATTTGAAAATACTAGAAATTAAATGCTTTCGAGCATTTCATTTCGCTGACAAAATGTAACCCAAAATGAAGCACTGGAGGTCAGTAGTGGTCAATTAAAACAGTATAATAATTATTTTCAAAGTATGAGTTCCTTGTTCAAATATCATCTGCTGCCATTTTTTTCCTTGCAAAAAGATTGTAATTAAGTTTTTCAGCTTCTTTCCTGTTTATCAGTTTCGAAAATAATGTTTCTGATTGATTGATTATTTCAGTGACCTGAAGAGTGAAGCAGTTAAAACCTGTCATTAAGTCCCCGTTCTCAATACACGTAAAAATGAATCCTATGCTTTATGTTCATGTCCTACATGCAAGGCATATAGATTAACCGTAGCAGCAGTTTTCTAAATGCATATATCCGTCTGTTTCATCTTTGTCTTATTTCAAAAAATGAACACTATACGGTATACAAGTGTACCTCGTTTGTCTGTAATAGAGGGAAACATGAATTACGCAGGTAAACATGATATTTCTAAGTGAATTCTACCGCAAGTTCTAACAATACATCATTCTAGGCGATTTTCTCAACCAATGAGGTTAAGCAAAGTTTATTATTAGAGAAGTAATAAAAGTGGATGAATTTACTTGTTCATATCAGTTAATATGCTTCATAGCATGTTCATATCTAGCCACTGCCTTAAGCTTTATTGTCAGGTAGAAGAAAACTAAGAACAAGAAAGTTAGCACGTAGTGCAACTAAATATGATACCAGGTTGGTATTCATCTGGAACTGGCATCAACTGGAGAACCACTGAGAATCTGGGAGCACTGGACAGCTGTTTCGTTTTAGTACGGGACTCCTAAGGAGTGCGCACTCACAAATCCACCAGAGATTGAACCCAAGACCTTGAGATTCCGCGGCCAGTACGTTACCATTGAGCCATTAAGTTGGTTGGCTTACATCTCCTACTTCTATCAGTTCCCGATACAGAGTGACCTCCATCCACTATTTGCTTTAGGTCACTGTCCTCATATCCAACTTGGATAGCTCCGACGGTCACAACTAATTAAAACATCGGGAATCTCTTCTCGAAGCGAGTCACTTGTGAGCACTGAATTAATTCAGTTTAGAAGTTTGTGGGGATTTTTTAAATTTATTTCAGGTTGGTATTTGACAGGATATGTAACCTTCATTTGATCCCGATTATTGGTACAAAAGTGATTCACTTGAAAGCAATACACAGTGAATGCATTCTTAGATGAGATGGATTCCAGCATTCATTGGAAATATACGTGTGAGGCAGCCTCGTATATAAGTACTTAGTACTTGAATTCATCATTTGTATAGTTTCAAGATGTGTATTCACCATAAATAATGCCTACAATATACAAAAGATTTCACTGTTAGTGAATAAAGAAGGGTAAGTGGATGAGTTTGAAATTCAAATCTGGACTAGCTTAGGTGGAAAAAATTACTTTCTATATCCGAAGCAGTTGTTTCAACAGTTTTGCCAAGTTAACGAATCATGTTTTCAACGAAATTTATTCCTTTTCTTATGTGATCAAACTTAAATGATAGGTTGATTGATTCCTTCATTGATAAACCAACTACATAGTATGCTGATTACTCTTTAGGGTTTCAGGGTCTTCACGTTTCAATTACCACGTTGTTATACAAACTTCGAAACAGTAACTTGTTTCTTAAGCGGTCTAAGTTGTCTATAATTACATATACTAGAGGTAAAATCGTATATCACTTGGATGTTGTTTGTGACAAAGAAGAAAGGTTCTATTCTACACCGATTTCCATCAATTTTCGAACCAATGCTAACTTGGGATGCAAAAGAATATAAGAATATATTTTTACTCCTTTCTTAAGATTATCAGTTGAAACTGGGAAAAGTGAGGGATATAAAATCTTATTCGATTTTTCAAAGGAAACATAAATAGCTGAATGTAGTGTACTGTTTGAAGAAAAATATTCGATTTAAAGAGTAACCTTAAAGGCCCACATTACCATCTGCTGAACTAACCGATCAGATTTCGGAATTTCGGCTAGGAAGATAGTTTCTCGTGGAATAGAGAAAAGTAATTAGTTATCTCAATAGCTGCTAGGATGGCCTTTAAAGTCGTTCAATTTGCAACCGTAGTAATACGATTTCGTATCGTAAATAAATAAGTAGTTGTGTAGCCAGTTAACTTTCTCAGGTGTTTAAAAATAAGGAATAGGAAGTTCATATGATAAAAAACCATGAGCTTTTAGATACTACAATCTACACACTAAAATAGTATTTTACAGGTTTAGCATGAGATGCTTATTAGAAACATGCACAATGCTACTGGTGTTGCTTTGTGGTCTTGATGACCAACAACAAACAACTTAGAAGCCGTGTGGAGTAGATTGAAAAGTTGTTAACACCATATTTCTTACTCCATGGGGGAAAATTAAGTTAGATTCTTTGCCGAAGATAGTAAGAGTTCAAGTAGGAAGAAGTAAGAATAAGTCACGATTAGTTTTCCAGTCATACTGAACTATTGCTGAATTTTGATTTTTTTTCTAATGATCAGTAAATATCTCTGTTTTATTGGCTGAATTGTAGTAATCATCACCTCAGGGTCAAATTAAATGTACTGATTGTGATGATAAACCCAATATAAATGATAACAGTGACGTTTCTAGAATTCATTATTCTGTTATTATAACGATTAAAAGATTGATGGATACACCTTCCCACCCATTCGTCTTGCTATAGCTACTCACGTAAGTAAATTTCTGTACAATCCCAGTTCGTTACTGACTGAAATTCCTACAGAAATTACTCACATTTTTCCCCTTCTCAAGCTCATGGTACGATGATCATGATTTATGTATTTAACAATATTCGAAAGGCAAACTTACAATGCACTAAGGTTTATGATCAGAGCAAAGCGAATGACGTGCTTTTAATCAATAAACACTTAGACACCCGAGCAGTAAGTGATATGGTTATCACCAACGGGATAAATTGCATGCCTAAAGACAAGAAAATATAGCAATGCTCTACTAGAACGACTGCATGTCTTTTAAGGGTACATTTATTGACCCAAGAAAGTGGACATTTATTACATTCTACCCTCTTGTATCGTTTATAACAATCATCTTTTTATTCAACAGAAGCATTCAAAAAATCTGAGGTTTTTGTACTTTTATGCAAGCTGTAACGTTTCGGTCCCAGCCACTAAATATAAAATATAACGCATCAAAGTCAAAAGGAAAGGTTGTTTATCCATGATTAGTTAGCTTGACCTTGTCCCCTTAAAACGACACAATGGGTTAAGTAATAATTGACATACACAAGCTGTTAAAATTACCGGTAGTCCCGATGGAACCACAGCAACCCTTGGAGCCAAATGAATAACAATATTAATCAAGTGCCATTTGAATGAATAATTCAATGCTGTACATGGAAAACTAGCTCAGCAACTGATAAAAACATGAGTTTATAAGTGTCTGCATCCCGAAGAGCATAGAAAACGACATTAGTTAAAAGAAATCAAACGAGTTGTCGTGAGACTAAAATTCTAAAAGTGAACTGTCAAAGCCTCATCGAAAAATACTAAAAATACAGAATTTTTACATTTGCTATGTATGAGCTCAAGGACATCTTCCACGTCAAGGTGCCCCTCCGAAAATCATCGAATTCTTCAGACATTGAGATCTTCATTTTAGTACACGTACTTGTAACATGAGATAAATGTAAAAAACACAGCTTTTATTTACTTCATCTTGTACACCAAGATTAGAGTTATCGCAGCTTGTTTCTTCTGTTGAAACACTGACAATTGAAGAACAGTTGACTCAGTGGTTTTTGTGGAAGTCATAGATTTTAAGGCAGTTTTCATCATAAATTAACATAAATGAGAGAAACAGTGAAATCCAGGAGACACTAAAAAACAGTTTTATCGAAGTTTAGTATTTGTCCATAGTGTTCATCCATGAGCTTAAGTCCAATATAGCTCACGGTATGCATGCTATCATTCAGTCAGTGGGGTTTTTAGAATATATCGGAAAATTATTTAAACTAATTGAATGGAAATGCCTCACTTCATTAACTTGTATCATGAAATCAGAGGCATTGTATTAGCTATTCTATGGTGATTTTAACGATCGACTAACAATGGACTGCATTCTTTTTTGAACTATCCGATTCTGATTGCTGTGTGCATCTATATGAAAGCGACATTACAAATTCATCCCTAATGCTCACTGTTTTACTCGCATGTCGACCTTAAAAGGTATTTCACTGAGCCATTCAGCTGTTTAATGGTAGTGCCATCCAAATTACAGTTTAAAAAGGTTCCAGTTAATATGAAGACACAAAACAACATGCAATTTTTCCTGAATCTGTGCTTTTTTATCGGGACTAGTTGAATTTAGTCATATCAAGATCAAATATTTCAAGATGTCTGTTTATGCGAACTAAACAATTTTGAAAATACAAATTAGTTATATCTGTTAGGATTTCTTTTCATTTTGATTCGTTGATTCAGTTTAATTGGTGATGATTATCGAGGGAATGATCGTTTTCCTGCATACAATAATACCTTTATTTTAGTGGTTTCTCTTTCTCTGAACTGGATAGCTTGGCAGCATATGCTTCCTTATCCGTCTAAGAATAAGGGAAATGTAAACTTCCTACTCAGGTGACATAAATATGCATCTAAATGACCCTGAGTGTGATTAGCTGTCCTGGTTATTGCCATAAGCGTACAGCTATTAGGTTTGGTGATCAATATAATATCATTAAAATTAGTGATTGAGATTTTTCAGGTGAAGTTTTAACTGCTAACTGGTTCCATAAGATGGTGTATGGTTTCTTAGTTTTTCCAGATGACGTTAGTCGATTAGGAAATTCTCTATTAGAAGTAATCATTCAGTGCATGTTACTGAGGTTTATGCATGAGTTGTAACAATATTCTGTTTGTTGGTGAAATATGCACTAGTGGGTAATGTTTCCAGTCATTTCTTTTATCATATCTGAATTATAACTAAGTGGAATTCATCCTAAATTGGTTTATTTGATATAATACACACGTAGTCCAGTATTATTTACCGGACGACGTTACAAACGAAATTTATTTCTTAAAATCATATCGGGTTATTCGCACCACCTCGTGAAAGCTTTTAAAGCTTTACTCCTTTTCCTTCTTTGACTAGTTGATAGTAGACATCTCTAGATATTTGAAGTCGGCTTGAAAAGTAATTCCATTACACCTGTTACTATAGCGGGAAAATGAAACTGTCGTACGGCATTCTAAGAGAAGAAAGAGATAGCACATAATAACTACACATTCTTTCACTCTAACCGAGTCTTAAATTTCAGGATATTGAAAATAATGAACCTCTGACATTCTTTTATCTATTTATTCATCTGTTTATCTTTTTTTGTCTCTTTCATTAAAAAAATAATTCTTCCCTTATATTTTATTCAACAAATTAGATTCAGTGTTTACCGCAAGTTATGAAGAAATCCTAACAGATTATTTAATCAGTCAACCTAATTTATGGTTACAGCCAAATCCGTGTCCTCATAGTTGTCAAAGGCCATTATCCGTCAATCTGACGTATAACGTAATACAAGTAGTAAAACTAGTAAGTTTTTCCCACCTTTTGCTTCTATTAAAATGCGACAAAAATCTCTCTTTATATATATATATATATATATATATATATATAGTGGTGAGTGATAATTACCTCAGTTGTTTGAATTACCAGTCCTCACTCAGAAAATTCTGTTGGAAGACTACCTGAAAAGTATCTTTATGCATAAGCTGTGAATCATTTTTCCTCTCCTTTGATAGTGCTAGTGTCAGGTGTAGCCATTCACAGTAATAATTAACATACGAAGCTAGATGGTGCACTTAATAGCTTCAGCTGTCCATACAGAATCAAGTAATTATCAGTTTGTACACTGCCCCCCTTGCAGAAATAAAAACAAGTTGCCGTAGATTGTACGCTTAAAACTTGGTAGGTAGAATAAAATTGACGGAGCACGGATAATTCACTTTCAGTGAGCTAGATGACTAGTCTTAGAGATTTTATTGTTATTCTAGACAACATTATTAAACCTTATAGACGTTTGAAAAAATAATAGATGAAGTAAATGCAGCATTCTGACGTACTACTCACTAATAGAGATAACTGTACTGAAGATGAAGGATAATAAAAAGATGACTGTTCTGTCATCGCAAACAAGAACTGATTTGACATAACCGGGCGATATTGTTTCTGTTTTTATCCCACTTAAAAACAGCACCAAATCTGTCAACCTGGAGTCAATAAATTTTTTTTCGGTCACTGACAGTTCGACAATCCTTCCTTGTCTTTCTCCAGTGCCAACAGGAGATTGTTCGGTATGTATTACGCCATTCATACAGTTTTTGTCTTTTCATTGTTTTGTCGAAGTTTATAAAGATAACTAATTGTTTTAAATTTCTGAAGAGAAGACTTTCTCCATGCAGGGTCAAAAGGTTAAGTGAGCGTGTTAAACTTTGGTGCAAAATTGCCTGTAAACTCGAGAGAAGTGAATTTTGTCAGCAATGCATTCTAAGTCACATATTTCCCAGATAGTTTTACAAAATTCTGAAGTCTAATAAACCGCAGCTAAGCATTTCTAGTCTTATGCGCCTCACAAAGTCACATTTCGAAAATGGATAGGATAAGCTGCATGAATCGCTTTTACTTCAAGTAACTGTATCACATATTCTATAGATGTCGATAATATGTCGTTTGAAATCCCTATAGTTTTGCAGTAATGTCATCTTTATAACAGAAGTCAATCTGCGTTAGAAGTTAAGCAGTTCACTTGACAATTAAAACCACATTAATTATTTTCCTGTTAATCCGGATAAATCTGTTACTATTCTTTATGTAGTGATACTGTCTACATATCAGAAGGAAGTCTTATTACTTAGACTTGCATTTTGTCTTCCTCGGAAGTAGCCATCGCAATTAGCTATATATGCACAGTTTGAAAATCTATATGACCAGTTGAAACTCCTTCTTCCAACTTCAAATGATGATCAGGGCTGGTTGAAAGCCAAGCTGATGGATATATCTCACCATTTTTGTGATAGTCGTCGGAACCAGAAAACTGTCCTAACCTTTGGACATTTCAGAGCTATGAAGGAACTAAGAGACAACAGCGATATTAATATCTCCAGACCTGACAAAGCTTGGGTGTCGTGATTATGGATAAAGTCGAACACAATTATAAAAAGTCTCCTACTCATTAAGAGAAAAGTAAGCTTATCAGAAACTGCTCCTCAGAAGACGTACAACTGTTACAGGCAACAGTGACCGCTAATCTACTGACACTGTCCGGTATAGACATTATTTCCAGAGAAAAATTTGATTTATTGAAACCATCTGAACCTCGATTCACATATCTTTATGACTTTTTCGAAGTAACTAACAACCCGTTACATGCTTTAATGCCCATGTGAAAACCACTTACACAGAAGCTTGTCCAGTGGCTAGTAGAATTATTTGATCCTATTAAGAAGCAATTCTGTAAATATTCCTTGAAGTAATAAAGTATCCGAATGCCTTGATGAAGTAAACATTAAAAATAAAATTGTGTTCATCTGACTTAAACTTCTTACTTTATGTGATTGTATTTCCATGTACAATTTTTTAATAAATATTTCTTTGTATCACTTAAAGGAGCAACTACTTTTATGTACAAGCAACATCAAATTTACATTTGAAGGCGAATATTTCCGTTAAATTGGTGTTACCATAAGAAGTCCTTTAGACTCCTTTTTAATGCACATATTTATGTCTCACATGGTAAACTTATGGGAGAAATTATATGAGAAGACTCATCTATATCAAAGATGTATCAGTGGTATCCTAATTATGTGTGGTATTTCAGGCCAATCAACTTCACTTCCATACTGACTGAATAAAGCACAGAAGAACATATCCTTGACGTGTATAGAAGGAGAAAATGATTGTTTGTCCCACCTAATGGCAGGATGAACCTGTAAAAAGATCTATCTACACAAAATCTAAAAAGACAGGTCATAATCTAAGGTGTCATTGCTTTTGTTTAGTTCAGTAAACGTGAACGTTAAGTGCTTGCCCAAAAGGATTCAACGATTATGGACAGATGTTACTTTGGAAGACGAGAGAAGAACATTGACTAAAACACTGTTGGAAAATAACTATACATCAAAATTTATTGGCCAGCACAAAGTAACCAGAGCGCTAAAACCCGATCTTCACTTATTCCTGTACCAAGATGTCTTCATCAGTATTCCATACAAAGGAACTTTCATAGTGCGATCCCTAAGCAGAGAGTTAACGCTGCTGTTAGAAGGACTTACTATGCATCTAGGTTTGGACTCTTAGAAACCGCCGTGTTTGCATACTCTCCTAAACTTTTATAGTCTGTGACTGCAAAAGCAAATCGAATCACCTAAACCTATAAACGTCGGTAGTAGACACCCCATATCTTTGACGAAGTAAAATATTGTTGAGGCAGGCCGTAGAGTTAACGTTTTTACATCCTATAGAATTATTTACAAAAAGTGTTTGGAGTAGACCCTTAAGTTTGTTAAGATCTTAGCCATAAGGATGTTTAAGCCACCTTTGTGTGCTCAGAAGCAATTTATTATCAAATTCAACGTCCCTTGGTGAATTCCACACCAAAACCAAGCTCGATGTACTATTATTTTCGCTTTGTTGATACTCAGTAATTATCTGGTCTTTAATTTAGTCTTTCTGCTTGACCACTTTTCATATTCCTACCCTTCATCTCTTTTTATAGAAATACCTATGACAAATAAGTGTACGATCAGGCTGTTCGAAGTGTGCTGTACAAATACATTACACATTCCAGACAAATTACGTCTTCTGACTTTTTTTGTCAAAGTTTATGAAGGGAACTAATTATTTTAAGTTCCTCCAGTGCATCAATATTCATCTAGCTCTTACTGAATGACCATTTCTATTGTTTTTACTTCACAGCTTACCTCACAAGTCTTAGTATATTAGCTGCAATCTCCCATCAAAATTCTGGTAATATTTTTCGCCGATTATTGGTTATGATCAGTGCTATGATACTTGTTTAACCTACTACTCATCACCCAGGGTTGTTTGCACGATTTTCTTGTACATCCTATGATTACGCAGTCTCTTTTTTTAAGTCTGGAAACGACTCACTACTTAATCTTGAAACATTCCGTTTTAGTAAGTCAGTGTTGACCTATTAGACAGTGACAGAGTTACTTATTTTCTTGTTATTATTATCAGTATGACTGTACAGCTACTGAAAATGATTCATTGAAAAAAGAATTTTCTTCGTTGAACTACTTTGTGCTATTTCATTTCAAAGTAACAAAAGCCTTGCATGGGTATGGTCATACCTCCGTTTCCATTCGTCTAACAGTGAATGAAGTATTACAATAAGGTAAATATAGATTAGGTGTTATAGTAAGTGGTTAGCCCGTGTTTTACATGGATTCGATTGGTATGGAAAGCTATAACCAGTGACGTTTACTATCTCAACCATTAATCTATTTTAGAGAAACCAAGATACACTGTACATTAAGAAATATCAGTCATAAAATATACTATTTGATACTATATATTTCATCAAATTTTTCTGTCAATCACTTCTGATATAATGCAACAATTTCCTCTTGTTTATATCATGTTCACAGACAAGCGTAAATATCTTTCAGTCTAGGTATTTGCTATCAAACTTACCTCTGTTGCAATTAAGCTCCAGTCTGTTATTTCAAAATTATTTGAAAATTGTAGCTAGTTAGAATAAAACCATTTGATAAATGTTTGTTCTTCATTGAGCTGATCAATCATTTTTGACTTAATTCATTATTACTTGTGATTGTCACAAGTTAACTAATGAGAGTTAATCAAACTTCATTCATTTCATGTATTATAAGTAAATTTTTATTGCAAAGTTTACATACAATGATAAGTTTTTATTTTGGTGGTATTTCTAGCAAAATTACTGCCAGTGATCACACCAGCTGTTGGAATATTTTAGCAATATTTATTCACACATATATTTACCAGCAGGTATCATTTATAGTCTTTACTCATTTATTTCAGTTAAACCCTATTAATTTGCTTTTTTATCAACTCTATCATCATCTGTAATCAACAGTAACTGCCCAAATTCACTTAAGTTCTTCTCACTTTTTGTTTGTTTATCTGTCTGCTTTTTATTCACAGTCTCATTCAGATGAAACTCTTATAATATCTGGATGGTTTACAATAGTGAGTTTATCTTATGCATGCATTTTCACTGTGTTGTGCACAAATCTATAGAATACCAATAAATTCATCTTTATTCTATTGCCTAATATTTGTAATGCTGTTGTTAAAATCACTGTAGGCTATACAGAAGATTTAAATGTTTTGCTTGCTTGATTGATCATTGAGCGTAGGACTAATCTGAGCTGAAGTGTATTGATTTAGAAAATTTCTTATCTTTACTACGAAAGTGTATTTTTCATCTGCGAATGTTGAAAAAATGTGGCAGGATAAAACTAGTCTGAGATATAGCAGTATATTTAGACGAAATAAGAATTTTCGATGTAGATTCGTTCACTGATGGTAAGATGTTTTCGATGTTTCAACTTTTGGTTTTGTAGACGGAGTTATTTCCCGCACTTAGACTAGAAAGGTGAAAAAAGTCACATTAGTATGAATGTATGATTATAAAAATATAAGTCTCGTAATTTTCACTAGCCAGGTTGTCGGTTTTGGCTTCTTTCAACTTATATTACTATCAATCATAATATCAAGGTTGGTCATACAGTTAAGTGATTAGTGCGTAACATCAATATCACTTAGTTTTCGAGTTTAGCTAGTGCTCCAATGGAAATGCTGCTTCTGGAGATTAATTTCACAGTATTTTTTGATCATTGTTTTATGAGTTTTCTTCCCAGTCACTGGTCATGGTTCTGACTGCTCATTCAGAAGTAACATTTGCTCTACTGTGAATTCGTTCATTCATTCCCTAACACAAATTATTATAGTAATGATAGATAGTGGCTAGCAGTGGAATCCAGGATGGTCATTTCGTCCTATTTGGGACTCGTTAGGTGGCATCTACCTGTTTAGACGTTAAAAACTATTCTCGAAGTATAGTTTAGATAATACTTTGTACAAACACGTTTTCTCTTAAATGTTGGAAGTCAGTAGACAAGAAACTCCGAGACTAAGCTTCATACTTGCGGGCACTCACCAATAAAGTGTATCAACAATCTTCAATCAACTCATGTTTTTGATCGGTAGACTTTGACGAGCACTTAAGATATGATAACTGCATTAATTAGCATCCAGCAAGTAATTATTTCTTGTTTGTTTGGAAAGTTCATACTTTCTAACTATACTAGTAGTTCAGGTGTACTGTGACCAGTTGTGATTGCCAGCTAGGCAGATTGACTCGTAGAACCGAATAATTGCCACTGTCTATGGTGATCACGTTTAAGTTACAGCACTTTATGCGCCTTCATAAAACTGATATAAACCTTACAGTCTACAGTCTAAATCATCTATCTTCAGTACTCGAAAATCATGAAAATGAATTCATGAACGATTATGTAGGAATTCTTCAAGTTAAGATACTACCTTTATTTGGAATCACTTTTTAACAAAACTCTTTAAGAAATAATGCTAAGAAGTTCAGACCAAAACTCATTGGATTACTTGAAAATAGATATATTCAGTCACCTATGCACTTAAAACACTTAGTTATCATGGTTGGTAATCAAAAAATCATATTTAAACAAACCATAATCATAAATGTACATTTTCTATTGCAGAAACTTTCAGTCAAATGCTTTTTTGATAAAAGCAATGATCCAGTTAGTGTTGATATGTTTCATACCTCAAGGTAATAGGTCTAAAACCCTAGACCTACATTTCTCACGTGTTCGCACTCACCAGGACAGGACATATCTATAGTTTGGCACTAAGTTTACGCTGTTATCCAGAATTATATTTGAGTCATTTGGTAATGCAACCAGAGTAGCTACTACCGAAATATTCAATGAGGTCCATCAGAGGTACGACAATTTATGTCACGTGACAACTAAATTCTTAAAATTGGACTTCTCAAGTAGCAAAATCTTCAACATAATCATGCTTTCTTTTTTCAAAACCCCATCAAAAAAAACTTGAGTTCATCACTCAGAACTCAGGTAGTAACACCAACAGGTACGTTGGTCAAGGTAGCGGCGAATACAAATATGTAATAGTTGGTGAGTTCCAATTTAAGCTTAACCTGAGTGAGGCATTAGAATTACACAAGGAATTAGTGAACACCGATGACTCCCTGTTAATAAAATAACGTGTTTACGATGAAGTCTATTTATAAATGCAGAAAAGCGGAGTTCGGAGTGGTTTGATAAACATCATTTCTTAAACAGTGTACGCATTAAAATTCAAGATTCCATTTTCGTAAACATTCCGAAAAGAATCGGCAAGAAGCCGATTGCCTCCAACCAACTAACATCTAATGTGCACCACGATGCTGAGCCTCCTAGCTTGGTGGCCACATTGCAAATATAGCAGACAGAATTCGGCCTGCACTCAGGACTGGAAAATGTGAAATCGGTTGCACTTCTGTGACCAATCAATACAAACAATTTGTTTATTTTCATCTTGATATCTGATGCGTAATAGTTTCAGTATGATCATTATCATCTATTTACCATTTAGGTAGTCTGTTTTCTCGTTTCAGCGATGGGTAGATTATCGTTTAAAGTGGAAACCGAGTGATTTCGGTGATCTAACCAGTGTATTACTTTTTAAAAATGTACAGTTGTGGAAACCCGACTTGGCATTTGGAAATCGTAAAAGAATGGGTTATTCGACTTAGCCACAGGCGATAACACATCACGTTTACTGATTGAATCCAATGGTCACGTGACTTGGTTACATGGTACAGTACTCGAGTTGTCCTGTCCCTTAGATATGACCAAACTACCATTTGATCGCCAAAAGTGTTATCTAGTTTTAACTACACTGTATAGTTCAATAAAGCAGTTGGAAATCAATCCTAAAATTGACCATCTAAGCATTGATAACAGTTTCATGCCGAATGCAAATCATAGTGAATGGATCATTGATGGTATTGGCTGTCATTCTTCGATGTATCTGAGACAGACTAATTCAAAATATCAGTACATTGTAATATCAATTACACTGAAACACGAACCATTATATTTTGTTACATTTGTTGTTGCTCCATTTACACTAATTTCAATGTTGACATGCTCAATATTCACACTGAGTTGTCCAAGTGATCGATTAGTGACCGCATTGTCATTGTTCTTCGGTGCAACTGTATATGTAATTATTGTTTCGTCAAATACACCCAGATCTGTCAGTCAAATACCGTTGTTAGGTAAGTGCTGAATAAGTGTGATTTGATCACGTTGTTTGAATGTTGATAATACTACCAATATATATGTCAAATTTATATTTGTCAGCTTTTGGTTCAAATGACTCACCAGTTCGCTGTAAAATTATGTATGTATGGCATCCCTTTTGCTATTTGATCAGCTTAGTAGCCAAGTATGGGATTTTACTTATGGATGGCTGAGAATTAAGGGTCAGTCGCACGAAGGGGTATCTAAAGACTACCACTAACTAAATCTTGACATTTATTATTATTATTATATTATTTATCCCTTGGGCTCCTAGTGGTTCTGAAAATGATACGTTAATCTGGAAGTACCTTCAGGATGAATAACGAAGAGTTCAGAGGGTTGAAAAGACGTTTTGATGCTGAAATTCCTACCATGCACAAAATTTACTCTAAAAATTTCTAATCAGACATACAAGAACACCGTAACATTGATACCGCTTGAGGTACGAATCCAGGTGCTTATAAAAATTTCCAAATAAACCAAGTTGATTGGCTAAGTATTGTTTCTTACTGGTATTCTAGAAATTCATGTGGACAGGCAAACCTGAATTTGAATTCCCTGTTATTATCGGTGTATTGTTTGAAAAGACCGTTTGAACTAACGTTTCATACCCAAAGTAAGGAAGTAAAAGCTGAACGAATCCATTTACCACCGCCAGGGTGACCCGAATAGTCTAGTTGCAACGCTTTCGACTGCAGCATTGGATGATGCACGTTTTAATATTTGGACTAACATCCGTTCCCTAGGCATAGCAGATACATCTCATTGACCAGTGGCCACAAACGCAAATCCTAGGCTAATTAGGGCTTTCTGCTGATTCATCATCATCATCATCATCAATATCAACATAGGACCAGGCATTATTGCGTAACGGTTCGAGTTGCCACAGCTCATATCAGTACATCAACTAAAAAGGCAGTGAACTGCAAGATGAAGGTAAGAAAATTCAATCAAAAGAAATATAAAGTACGAGGAGAAAGAAAGCAAGAATGAGAAAATGGTGAGGTTCGGTATAGCGTCGTTAAAATGAGGATAATGTGTACATACATCTGCGCCACTGACATAGGTTCTGAACCATGTGATCACTTAAAGTCTGCAACCAATGGTTCCTCTTATCCCACATGACTCCAACCGGCTAGTCTGTATTGCCTCACATGGCTCAAACCAACAATCGAAGAATTCAAACATTGATGCCATGTTTTAGTCTGGCCACCTCGGGCCTTTTTCCAGTCTGGACCTACTTCGGCCAACATTGTGTGATGAGGCAATCGGCGACTAGGCATATGTAACACGTGTCCCAACAATCACAGTCGATGAAAGTTCATAACCTCGTCAAGTGATTTACTTCTACTCCCTAAAACTCTACACCTGACTTCTGCATTAGTCATGTGGTGGCACTACGGAATACGGCCTATACTACGAAGGCAACGGTGGTCAAACACCTCAAGCCATCCTTCTCATATCTTCTACCTTCAATGGCCATGTTTCACAGCCATATAGTAGAACAGACCGGACTGCTGTGCAGTACACGTGACCCTTGACAGACAAACGGACATCACGGAGGCGCCATGCCGTAGGTGGCGTAAGTTGGCAAAAGCCAGTCGAGCCTTTTGTATCCCTGCAGAGATTTCATCGACCACTGAGCAAGCGACTAGGGCTGATCCTACTTCCCAGGTAAGTGAAGTGGTCGACATACTCAGTCACTACACTCCGCATTGTTAGCTGCAGTGGGGCACCGTTGAAGACCAATCCTTGAGCAAACATTTGCATTTGGGTGGTGAGAACCGCATCCCAAACATACTTAAATTGCCACTCAAAGTGTTCAGAAGACTCTACATGTTGTCGGCGTCTTCACCTAACAGGACTATGTCATCAGTATATTCTAGGTCTAACGAAAATTCTCCTGCGATTAGGTCAACCTTTGTGTAATCAGATGACGAAAGGGAGACCTCCATGAGAATATCTATGATAAAACTGAATAAGAATGGAGAGAGTAGGCACCATCGATGGACAACACTCGATGAGCATAACCCACTGGTTATCTCACCATAGGCTCTAACATGCCCACAAGTGTTCAAGTAGAGAGCCTTCAATAAGGTGATGTACTTACTCTTCACGCTTTTCAGTGAGAAACATTGCCATAAGTCTTCTCGATCAACGGAGTTGTATGCCGCCTTCAGGTAGAGAAATGCAGCTATTGCCTGGCGATGGTAAGCGTGTCTGTGTTCCAGAACCTGGCTTAGTGTAAATATTTGGTCGATACACCCGCAGCCTCGGTCTAAATCCTGTCTGGTTTTCCCAGGCTTGGTGTTCCCCAGCTTCACTCAGGCATCGAAGAATTGTAGAACCTAGGATCTTGGACACTATGTTCGTCAGGTTGATTCTTCTATGGTTATCATAAGAGGACTTCTCGCCCTTCTTGGAGACTGGAATAATCAGTGATTTGGACTAGTCAGATTACCTTCTACCGAATGACATCAGCCAAAGTGCACCACGTTAGTGAGTCTCCAAACTTGGTGATAATGTAGCAGAAGTAATCGATAAAACTCGGTTAGCACTTAATAGTACACAACAATAAATTTGCCACTCTACAGCAACAATTCAATACAACTTTATTCTTTATTTACTTAGAACAACAGTATCAGACTACTCATGTCTAATGTATGAAACCGCCAAAGACAAGGTGTGTAAACGCCTTGTCAATAAGAAATAATGAATTAGCCTGATGATGATACCACAGCATTCAACTTTGCGGGCTTCTAAAAACCTTTGGAATCCTGATGTAGTCAGTTGTAAGTAATGACTAAGAAGATGGTAGAGGCTGTTCTTCAAAAGCTTAAAAAACTGTCAATTTCCATTTGCAATGGAAGGTTTAGAATTTACATTATCTTCAGAAGATTCTCAGCCTTATTGATTATTGTTTCACAAGTTTATATGAACAACGATATGTTAGTTTGACCATACTGCCCTCAGTTTCACTAAATTCGCTGTTTTCGGTTACAGTCTAAGTCAGTAAACGTAGCTAAGCTCAAAATATCAGTAACGAAAGTGGACATTTTAACAATTATATTTAATTTATCATGACGAATGTGACTGAACTGTAGAAGCTGGACGTAAACATAATCAAACCTGTTTCAATAAAAAACGAACAAGATTAAAGGCCATATTTTCGCATGCAGATATTTTACTTCTTATAGCCCAAAAGAAGCTGGAAATTGGTAGGATCACTTAGAGCCGGTCATTCAGCATTTTTGAAGATTGAAGTTTTTACTGAACTGAGCATTTACTCAAGGCCTAGAGTATTCTGGGATGTTACAGAAGGATTGGTTAGGGCGACATTGTACGAAAAAGTATTAACAGTTATCATGGTTTGATACCGTCTCGATACTGTACAATATTTGAGTTTTAAAAATCCAGAAAATAACTTACTAAAATGAGCTAACTGACCCTATTTAAATCCCTGACATTTAAGGCAAACAGCCATTAAATCATTTTGGTGCACAAGACTCTATTTTAGTCAATGCCATTCAAGTTGAAACGCATTATCAGCACCATGTTATTCTTAGGTAATGCGAAACTCTGTCTGAATCTCTGAGAAGAGTTTCAAACAATGATTTAAAATCAGCGATTTTCTTTAAGCGTAAGTTGCTTATCCTTTTTATACATACTTGCTCTATTTAGCACTCGATATTTCGTTCAGATAAATATAAAAAATATTACAATAAATGAAGAGACTGATCAAAATACGCTCAAAATTACTTATTCAATACACTATTTTAACCAAATAATGACCGCTAATGTCAGCCACACGACCTAAAGTCGACATAGTAAAATGCCAGATATCGATAGACATTGTCAGTCATATTAGCTTGAGCAGATGTAATACCTAACTAAATTCGTGTTAAGTAATAATCATATTTATGCTATGATAACTATCTGATTAAGTTGACTACAACAATATCGAGTATTGAGTCCAGAAAAGTTATTATACTGAATATTTCTCAATATTAAATTACGTCACCTATCTGACTGCGATGTGGGTGATAACAGTCTAACGATCTTGCAGTTCAGTTAACAAACACCAACGGTCAACCTTCATTAACACTAAATGAAGCAAAAAAGAAGGGTAAGACTATTTCCTACTAGGGAGTTGTCACTACCATGAGAAGAGATAAAATATAGTCGCAAAAACATTTTAAGAATGTAAAACCCTTTAAGTGATCAAACAAAAGTGCTAACAGCAAATGGAAAATCAGCATCAAATAGGTTTGATGGACCATTGAACAGCACAAAATAGCATCGGAAACTAAAAATTTAAAGCAAACATTTGACATTATGGAATCTGAGGCAAAGCCAAATAACTGAATTTATGATATTACTTATAATAAAAATGAAGTCAATAGTGAAGAAAATAAAACTTCTAGTTTTTCAGAATCTTGGGAGAGTGTAGTTTCATCCTTTTATCGTCATTCATTTATCAGTTGGCTTGTTTGAAAAGTCGCGCACATTTAACGACAATCATCATGGCAACAACGTACCTGGTAGTAATGATGGAAAGTAGCTAGTAGTGGAATCCAGGACTCATATTTCGTCCTATTTGGAACTCGTCGGCTGGATGTACTTGCATCCCAATGAGTGATGGTGTTCGCACTACTAATAGGGTGAATCGCGCATCCTGAATTCCATTACTAGCCACTATCTAACATCACTACCAAACTGAAACCACAGACAATATAGAGGCATCCGTTTAGGAGCGCATATGCCTATAGTGATCGATCAGTTAGGTCCAACCGACGATGGGGGATTACAAGCAATAAAATTAAAAGACAATCCACATGATCCAAAATGTAACGAAAGCCTGAAACTTTTTATGTAGTTTTTTCTTATATAGCGTAATTCTTTGGAGTTTCTAAACTGCAGTCTTTCTGAGGAGGTGTTTATTAACTTCAAGTTTCGTAAGTGATATTATTACAGTTTATCTACTAAAGAGAAGTATAAGACTATGCTTTCTTGAACTTTAGGATTACTACAAAATAACTTTTTTGAGGTTGATTATCACAAAACTGAACTTTGTCTTCATGTCCTGGAAAATGACAAAACTGTACAGTGCTGAAGGGTGAAAAACTAGGATGAAACTGCAACCGAGAATTCCTCACTTGACATTTGTTGTCCAGTGGATGTCATTCACTCATGAAGTGAATTTTTAAGTTAACCGAACCCTTGAATTTGCAGACTTATTGTACGAAGGTGAACGAAGGTGAATGAAAGTAAATTGTCACTGTGAATTATTTGATGAGGAGAGGCATACAAAGACAAGTCAACGTAGAAATTGGCACAGGAGTGCGTTGCTTACAGTTACTTCACTTTACGGCAGCATGCTTAGAAAAGGTGGCTAGAAAACTAATGATATCAAAGTATACCAAAAGTATGTGAGAAGAGAGGAGACAAATAGATGTAGTTCAACAAAAGTTTTTAAAACACAGAAGAGGAAAAGTAGTGCATATATGTATCCGTACCATTATGATCATTTATGAGCCATATCACAAAAGTTACTAATCGTTGATTTCTATCGTCTAGAAGACCACAACTAGGCAGCCTTCGTCTCTTCAAATGGTTCATAGCTGCTATTAAAGACTTGATGACTTCTTCCAACCTAACCCTACTACGGTTAACATTCCACCTTTGCGCGGAGAGTTTCTGGGTATGCGAAATAGGTGTCAAATCCACTTCAGTTTCTTAAGATTCACAACCTCATCGACTGACTTACCTTTCATGCCTGACGTCGGACGCCTAACCTCGACATTGCTCATACGGTGATTACAGCACACGCCAGCGGTGCTACAATGATATTTACGGTCAAAAACCTGTTACCTCTTCATATCATCTACTTTCAGTGGTCATGTCCAGTAGTCGCATAGTAGGTCAGACTTGACTATTGCATATCATACTCTCCATCTTACAGGTAGGATTATAAGAAGGACAGAAGGGTCTTATCCAAATGGTTTTTAATCAGTGAATGACTTGATCCATTTTGTGATATGATTAGAAATTGTTATCCATCAGGCGATTGAATATCGTTTTTTCTCAATTCCTAACTATCTTCATATCTTGTCTTAAATTGGTTCTGCATAGCAGTTTTGCTTTGTATACCACTGCCGCTTAGAACTTTGGAAAATTGAAATCGGGTAATATTTTCAAGAGTACAACTTTGCAGTAGTTTATAGAATAACGAAAAAGAAGTAAAGAGAATGAAAGCATTGGTTGAGTTAATGTTTTGCTTTGCTTATAAAGCTGAGAAATTTCTCCGCGAAAGCACCGAAATTCTTGAGTTACACTTTCAGTGGATATTACTGATAAAGTGTCAAATGTAGGACAACAGCAGATTGTTCCAAGGTATCTCGCTAAAAGCATATTAAGCCGATATCTTAAATGTAAGTGAGCTAGGGGAATATTAAGTGTGTAGAATAACAAAGTAAACTGGCTTTGTAATAAGACGTGAAGGAATATATCTGTGCTTCTTGTGCAAATTTTGATACATGTCATCTTTAGTCTGTTTTTATCTACCAAACACCACTAGCCTAATAGACCAATGGAGTATGCTGATCTCATCATACTGAAGCACTTTACAGCCTTCATTTATTCTGACAAGGGGGTAGACATTACCGCGAGTCATTGAATGCATACGCAGTAACTATCTCAGTCAGTAAAACGTTTGTAATTGCAACAATTTAATGTCAATTTCATGTTGCCACTTGTTCAACATGTTAAAGTTGGACGAACTTCTCAGATGAAACACTGATTTGTTTATTTTTCCGAAAATTGACTTTGTTTGCCTTTTTATTGTCGTTTGTCTTCTTTATTTCCTTTATATGTATTCAATCTTTTCAGGTATTTATCTACTATATCAATTAGGCTTCATGGGTTTGGCAACTATTGTGGCCGTAATCAACAGTCATTACGCTCAAGTAAACGACCGACTAGACTGTTTGAAAGATCCATTTAAAAAATGTTTTTCAACGAAAAAGCAGACACTTAAATTGTACCAAGTGTCCAGATTGAAAAATGTACATTTTCGCGAATACCCTGATTATGCTCATCGCTATCGTCAGCGAGAACAACATGCAATAGTATCTGACTCTCCAACGGAAACAAATAAAAACTGTGAAATGAAATACACTACTGATTTTACACTGTTTACTACTAGTCGTTATCATTTAACCTCACTAACAGATTTATCATGTATATTGATTTATTTGATGTTGTCTGCCTGGAATTGGATTTACTGTTTTCATATATTACCTAATCAATAAATAGTCTACTAGTGTAGTTGATTTTCTTCTATAATTTCTTCTTCAAGTAAGTGAAGTGGTCGACACATTCCATTACTCTTCTCCTCTTCATTGAACTGAGAGTGTTTGTAGACCAGTCCTGGAGCATTTCCATTAGTACGTCCGTAACGAAGTTAAACTGGAGCGGTGACAGTCACCATCGCTATCGGGCATCACCGGTTATCGTCAGTCTACATGTCTCCTCTCCATATGCTCTTATACGACTCCATGGGTTAAAACAGAGTGCTTTTCTTTGCGTTATATACTTGCTTGGTACTCCTTTCGCAATAAGACAACGCTACAACGCCTCATGGTCGACTGAGTCAAATGCTGCGTTAAGGTCAAGAAATATGACAAGTGTTGGGCACTGATAGATAGATATGCAAGTGTTCCAGGACCTATCAAAGGGTAATAATGTGATCGATACACCCTCCTGAAGGTTATTAGTCTGCCTGATTTTCTTGAGTTGCAGTTAGGGGTCAAATAACTATTAACGCTCAGATATTAGACACAATATTTGTTAAACTAATTCCCCTGTGGTTGTCAGAGGCCGGCTTTTCCACATTCTTGTAAACTGGGATGATCAGTGAAGTAGACCAATCTAATGGCACTACCTCTGATTGCCACACACTTTCTAGTACCTCCGTCACTTTAATAAACAATTTCTCACCTCCATCCTTGAAAACCTCAGGTATTAAACTGTCAGTTCCTGTCACTCTCTATCACCTCAGGTTCGACACAGCTTTCTCAACTCCAAGCAGATTTGCGGAATCAACATCTATATCACATTCAGGTTCAGGCTAGCTTGATGTTCGCCAGCTGAAGCGTTTCTGGTTGCCAGTTGAACTGTGAGCCAGAAGGTTCTGACCAATGTTCTAGCCGCCTGTTTCAGGAGATTATCAGCGTCCCATCCTTTTTTATTGACGGTTTCACTCATTATCGTCTTCTTCTTGCCGGTATCCCAATGGGCACAAACAATTGCCGAATGTTACCTAACGCTGATGCCTTCTTCATCTCCCTCACATTTCCCAATCACCACTTCTCGCGATCATTGCAAACACTCTTCGTCAACTTACGTTTAAGTTACTTTCGCCTTCATCGTGGTCAGAAGCTATGGAAATTAATCTTCTCATATCGGTCACTGAGGATGATGTCAAGTAAATCCAATGACGTTTGTTATCCTTTATGTATAGGTTACCAGCTATTTTTACCGGTGTCTCTAGAGCACTCTTAACGTTAGACTACGTTTCCTCATGATGAGCGTTGGTGTCACGTTCAGATAAATGCTTAGATAACTGCTCTCTAAATGCGTGCTTGAAGTTCTCATCTATCAATCGAGCACAGATGGGTCTCACTTCCTCCTATTTCCTGAGGCCAATGAGGCGCAGACTTACATGAACCCGTAACAACGCGTGTTAGGATTCAAAACAGGTATTCTAAAAACAGCAAGTCTTCGCCAGTCCTCTTCAACGATGGTTCATAGCAATATGGTCTATTTTTGTCGATTGATGGTTTGAGGTAGGTGGAAGCCATATTAGAGTTTGCCTCTCTTTCTCTCTCCTTATGCTTGAAGTTAGTGCTGGCCGGAAACAAGTGATTGTCGCAACAAAATTGCAACAGACACTCTCTTTTGTCAGTCCGTTTGCATGGGATTCCACAAATATCTCCAAGATACCTTTCCGATTGGCTCAGCTTCCCTTCTTGAGAGTTAAAGTCACCTTCCATTTTGATTATTTCTGAACTTTTGCTTTCTGTAACAAACTTGACAGGTTCTCTTAGAATTCATTCTTAGCACCATCTGAATTGCAGTCGGTGGGTGCGTTGGCACAGATTACGCATAGGCATCGGTTGGTCTCACGATCCTTCCTAGTCCTTACAGATCCATTTGGGCAAACAGCACATAGAAGGCTGTTAACTAGTATCCAGTTGAAAAGCGCACTTTCTGCCCTACAGCTCAGTTATTTGCCAACACCAGCGAGTCCACAAGACAAAGGCACTGGGTCTCCAATACTGGCGAGGTGAATGTTGGAGGTCCACTGCTATGGCTAGGTGAGATCAATTTAATAACCTTACTCGAGTCCTGTATACGTGTCTCAGAGACACAACATATGTCTATGGCCACCAGTTCCAGAGTTTTGGCGAGTGATACCTACTGTCTCTTTTAGCATAGCATTCAGACGTTGAAGGCTGTCATATGAAATCGATAGAGGAGTCTAAGGAGGCTAGGAACGAGGTTTCGATGGCTTTGATCGGTGGCAGTGGTTGCAGAGTGAAAGGCTGAGTGGGTGTTTAGAGGCTTAATATTAGTATCAGGAGGTGAAGGCAAATGAAGAGATAGAGTTGAGGAGTATAGTTATGTTTGACTGGGTCTTGTGTACTACTGGAAGCGTACAGGCATTTAATACTTCCCGGCTGGAAGGCTATTTCTTTCTAAGGTACCTGAAAGAGAAACAGATTTATGCGACTGAGGAGTCTATTAGACATCTGCCTTTTACTGGATATTGTTTTGAGGTTTGGTTGTTCTAACCCCAAATAGAGAGAACCCATACCGTGGGCATCGGAAGTCCGTTGGACAGAGATGAGTGTGTTATTTTTAGGTCGACCTTTTCTAACCCCAGTCCCCTCTGCCAGGGCATTATCAGCATGGCCCTGATGGTCATCGAAGGGAAACACTTCACTGGTGTCATCCCCATCCAGCTAGCATCAATGATACTTTGCCCTCATATTCCCATTATGTAGTAATTTACACTACAAAGGTAACTTCTTGTTATCTTACCTCTATCCAACAGACCTTTCTAGAATGGTACGACCTCGAGGAATTAGCGTTTCACCCCTATAGCTCTTTGGATCATTGTGATATGCAAGCCGAACCACCACATTAAGGCAGCATCTGTCAGTAGGGCTTTCAAAGGTTCTAATCATATCTTTATATAATTGAGGGAAACTACTGACATGCTTTGGAAAGTAATAAAATCACTTGACGACTTCCTGAAGCAAATTTCTTTCGACTTAATTATCACGTTTCTTTTGTAAGGGTTTTGAAAAATCAACTAAATGCTTTCTCTATTTTTCCACCAAATGAGTTCTGTCTCAACGTTTCTTATTTTTAAATTCATAAGAAACGGCTGGATATGTCTTAAAACGCCAAAGCTATTTATGGATCTCAATGTTTACTTTCTCTAATTCTAAAAGCTGAAGACAGCTTGGTTGACGGCTATGAATATGACCTACTCAATTGTCATGCAACATAGAATTAAAGAACTTTAGCCGAAAAACACAGTAATTATCAAGCATAATTTTGATGTAGATTGCTAGAATGAGATTAATGCATTTACATGGTCTGACTTGCAAGTGATTTACAGAAAACCTGTACGCTTAAGTTTTGATGCATCATTTCTTTCGGAAAATAGGGTGGAAGATGCTTTGAAATAACAATTGAAAGTGTAGGTAGTGAGTCTTTAGCAAATAGATAGTGAAACAATGTCTTATGTGTAAGCACATGAGAAAGATTTTGTAGTTCTGATCAATGTAGTTTCAATTTTTAGATCTCTTAGCTGTACTGTCGTTCCATTTGATAGGTAATGAAGAGGAGGTAGATATTTCAAACTAATTTGTTAAATTAGAAGCTTCCAAATAAAATCAATAGCAGGACTCTTATTGAGCCAAAGTTTTCATTTTTGATTCCTGAATAGAGAAATCTATATATGCTAAATAATGCGATAGCCAGAAACTAGGCTAATTTATGCCTAAACTAATGAATCGTTACAGGGGGAACGTCAAGCCTAAAAGGGACTGGATTATCTATTACGGTTCAGGATGGTTAGTGACAATCGGCGATCGCATGCTCAATGCAAGGCCAGTTTATAAGGCAAGTTTGGCAGAACCGTAGTTGGGATCAACTCTCTTGTCATTAGAATACCACTCATTGAACAAGAGGTACATGGAATTCAGCAAGCGACAGTTGACTTAAAAATTGGTATTTCATGCCATTTATAAGTCGCATTACAGCTAATTTGGTTCTGGAGTTATTAGCGGCGAAAAGCACTTACCAGAACTATAACAGAACTTCAATATTCCTCACATAATAAAGACGAAGCAAATGAAAGAAATATTTGTATATTTCCCTGATTTTGTTTTTCTACTATTAAATTTGAAAAAGAAAATGATATGATTAATATGAAAATAAAAGATTACACTGCAGAATAATTTTCAGGCTATTCAACATTCCGCTGTTTCAATTTTTTCCGTCCAAGAAACAGTTCCGTCACCGTTTTGTTTTTCTATTTCATATTCATTCTATTCAGCTGGAATATTTATTTAAGAAAAGGGTTATACTTTCTTGCAACTGTACTTTGGACTTTACTCTTCGGAATAGCTGAACAAACTACTCACCAATTCTGATTAGAAAAGAAAAGTGTATAAAAATGAAAAGTTGTCAGAAAATCCTAGAAATTAGAAGCACGTGAGTTAAGGATGAAGTACTTTATGAAATATAGTGACTGTACATCTCTTGCTTATTTATATCTTTAGTGCACTGATTTAATTAGGTGAGCTGCCGTCACAAAAATTAGCTGATTGGATATACGGGTCATTGAATATTTAAATATGTTTAAATATATATGCTAGATACATGAGAAGCATTTGAAGGTTATTCGATTTTTAGTTCGTCATTTGATACCACTAACTGCGTTATTATCCTACTTTCATGCATCGAATCCAGAAATAGTACCATCCTCGAAAGAATGACTGGCTAATCAAGAGCTGCTTGTCATACTTTTGAGCCAATAAGTATTTAGACTGCATTATCTAAAGACACATCAGGCAATATTGAAAAAAATACAGTCATATAGAATAGTTTGAGTTCAACTGTTGAGCGACCAAGCTTTCAAACAGCCTGAAGTTAAGGAAATTGAGGATGAAAACCTTATAGTTAAACGATTTAACACTACGGTTTCCATTCTATCATGAAACGAAAATCATATTTTGAGATGATGGAAAATATTTGTAGTTCTGGATGATAGTCTTGATGGTGTTGTTTTCTCTGACCTGGATGGTTTAATCTTGAAGCTTTTATTGTCATTCAGCCCATCAGCCCTAATTTCATAAGTGTGTGTTAATGGTGTTGTCTAAAAAGGCAATAAGACTTCACGATTTAACCATCTAGCTTAGAGAAAAAAACACCAAAATATCTTCCAGATGTTACGGGGATAAGCTATTAGAAGTGTGAGAGTTATTTCACGCTCAATAAATTAGATGAGCGATGATCGTACCTATGCTATAACACAAATACATGTCTCAGGTACAGTGCATGGAAGGTAATGTAGTAGTGGACTAGATGCCTGGGTCTAGTTGTACACTTTATCATGGAGTTCACTTGCTGTCACTGGGATTATAAAACCAATTTATGTCATGAGACAGATAAGGAATGCATTTAACTCTTTCATTTGTGGAAAAAATGTCTTGTAATTACTGGCAAAATCTACTTACTGACTGAATTCCCATTCTCTGTTGTCCAATGGACAACGATGTTGAGGACTTGTTTCAAGCCACCGTTTTATGCAGTGCACATGATAAGCATGCTAGTAATGAGAAAGAATAGAACCTACCAGTACGTTAGAAAATGAAAATTTTATTGAAGTGTTTACGGTATTTCTTGGTGATATTTCAACTTGCATCTCAAAGCAAGCAAAAAAGTCATTTGATTGGTTGTGTAAAACTCGATGAAAAAATGAAATTAAACAAAGATTTCGGTGAAGGAAATTCTTTATGCAGTGACCTCGTTTTTGAAATTAGTTGTATAATTTATTTCAAAAGTGATATCTTATTTAATAACTTATTTGAATTCACTATAATATCTGGAATTTAATTACCACTAGTGTGAGTAAAGTGCGTAAATTGTTAGACAACTTAAAAGATGTAAGAAAACGAAAACGAAATAAAATCAATGAGCAAGTGCGTTAATCCTCAAGAGAGGGACGTTTTTGCTCAAGCTGTATGTTATACTTCAGTTTAGATTAGCCAAGTACGCATTGGTGCCGTGTATATCCATTTCGCAACATTTAATAGAATATGTTTCTATTTTGATAGCCGCGGCGGGCACTTTGCAAAAAGGGTGTGGCCCTTTCCCATCTAATTGAAAATTTGCCGATTTTGTGCTTACATATCAAAGTCCATTGTCCTTTTTCCCCCAAGAGAAGAATTTTTCGACTGAAGTAGGACAGGAACTTTCTTGGTTAATTTCTTGTAGTTATTTACCTATTACTACTTGTTTTACAGAGTAAACAGTTTTTTGGTGCATTTCACTGAAATTTCTCTGACTGAAAAAATACTTATTTGGTGCTCAACCCGAAGTTCTAGTTTTTCATTATCTGACATTCGTGTCACCTGCTTTCAGCAGGTTTGACCTAAACGTCTACAACATGGTCAGTCCGAGATATCGCTGGAATGTTTGTATTAGGCCCAGATGCCTTTTTTCAGGGCATCTGCAATGCATTGTAACGCGTATGAAAGATGGTATCAAGATAACTGCACAAATCTTACTCCTGGAGCATACAGAAAGCATAGCAATGCAGGTAGTGTCTGGGTTTGCCAGTCATGTTGTCCAGATATTTTCGGGTTGGTTGGAAAAGCAAAGGCTTTCTGAACTCCCTCACGAAGAAGTTAGTATTCAAAAAATCTAGTGATTGTAATAGAGATGATGACACTACATCTGTTGACACAGGTTGCTCTGCAGAACCCTAAATCTTTTGTGTGGCAGACCAAACGTCGGGTGGGGAAACTGCCTAAAAATAATGTTGATGATAACCTGCAAAAGCTACACAAAGCAGGGTGAAGCTAGTATTTTGGGTTCTTGCATCCTCAGAGCTAGCTGACCGAGTCTGGAAACTTGTGACCATAAGAATTGGTCAACTTCCGATGAAAGAGATGGGGTAGAACACTTTCATTGCTAGCTAAAACACTATGCAAGCCGAACGTCCTAACCAGTTCAGCTACCCAATTACTGACGACAAATGCACACAAGTGGATAAAAATTCGTTATAAAGGTTGTCATTGTCAAGGTCACTGAACTAAGCCTTAGCCAACCTTCCACAACCGACTCTGAGAAATGACAAGTAGTTAAGACAAAACGATATGCCAAAAAGCCAGTGACAGCCATAGAACCAACCGTCAGTAGAAATGCTTGAAAAATCTGTAATCTTCTACAGAAAGTAAAGATTCAGAACCATATAGCCGTTTCGAACACGACTTTGATGATCTACAAACTTTTACCGGAAAACCTGCCACTTGGCACCCTACTCAAGATATATAGAGTAGGTGAAAAAGAGACAGTCCCTACCGAAAACAGGTTTTAGCTACTTAAAGTCATGTTCAAATCAGCAGAAGAGGGGGATCACATTCTGAAAAACGCTCATAGACTTCTAGGAACTGAAGTGTTCGTACTTAAAGGATTTCCCCTTGCTGATCGAAACGAAAAACGAGAAGCAGAAGGGGAACTAAAACTTGGATCAGCAACGGGAGAGAAAGAGCTAAAAGTGATAGGTTTTCATATAGTAAAGCTTAGTCAACAAATGGCATCGAAGCGTCTATGGACAAAAACACTCATATTAGTGATTTCGTTGTCTTGCATAGAAATGGATATAGTCTTTCAAATAAATGCGCGAAGTTTAGTGCTGCAATAAGACGTAATTGTTTTCTCAGAAACGTAACTCTCTTCTGAGATCGGTGATAATGAAGATGTTAACAAGGATTTGTTCTTTCTCAGAATGATCGATTAACAGTTAGAGGTGATGGCATCATCCCCTACATGGAGAACATCTTAGCTTTAAGAGACATAGAAACAGTCACATACAATCGTGGAATATTTGAAATGCTATTTTGCCACCTGAAATGACAGAAACAAGATGTTGGTCCAGTCATAGTGTGTCATGACATTGAATTAGAGGCAGAAAACATCCTGAATAATGTGACTCTCTGGAGAGATAAATGCAGACGCGTATTTGTAGGAAACTTCAGGGTATCATCAGTTAACCTTGACAGTCTAATAATAGGAGCATCAAGTAATTTCTTTTAATCACAGGTTAATAGAGACACCAGTTTCCTTCGCTCTTATACAGTACATTAGGGTAGCAACCCGACACCATCATCATCATGCTCCATTGGTTCTAGTCTTATTATTCTCTCATACGTATGATGTTGGTTTCATCCGACACCTTGCACTCCTTGGTAAAAGTCATCATGGTCCGGTAATCTTCAGATCCACAGCAGCTGTGTTGTGTCAGGTGAACAACCCAGATAGACTCAACGTATAGAAGGCGAACATGGTAACTGATAGCTCAGAAGCCTCTGTGAGGAATGAACAGCCAATTCAGAAGCTATAGTTGAAGCTGCATGTTGCTCCTTCAAACAGTTTTACACACAGTTGTCTTAACCGTCCATTCACTGGATATATCACAAAATACGACGTATATTACGATGGAAGAAAACATGATCGAGTCTTACCACTAACGGTTTTACTTCCAAGGCGAAAGAGCATCAAAAATTGCCCAGAATAAATGTATTGGTGATATCCAAGTACTCTTTGAAATGCATCTCGCACAAGCTGAAGTATAACAACCGAAGAGATCAAAGAAATAAAACGTATATTGGCGTTCCGTTTTAATAGGAGAAGCGGAAACTAACAAATTAATTGAAGACGACAAGACTAAAACAGAGGCTATGGCTGGTTATTTTGTTGAGGTATTTACCTAGGAACATTCTATTAACACTAACTCAACAGTAGAAGCAATGACGTTAAGTGGAATAGGCTCTGTGGACATCGATTTCAAAGATGCATTTAGGACATCAAGTACTCTAGATATCAAAAAATCAACGCGACTAAATGAACTGCTTGGACAGCCTGCACTCTATATAGATGGATCATTGGCTACTATATTGAAACTGCCCTTCAGTGAAAGCATACCTCCATATCGCTAGAATGATGTCATAGCCACATCTATCCATGAGGCAAGTTCTAAGCAGCACCCATCAAATTACAGACTGATAAGCTTAACCAGTACTCGAGTGAAGATCCGAGGAAGCCATTACAATTCACTCACGAAACAACACTCTGTCTTGCTATCAGAAATATAGCACAGCCGTGGGTCCCATACTTCTTATCCTGTACATAAATGCGATGCCGAATATCGAGAAATCTCCCATGGTTTTCTACGTTGATGATATATATATATATATATATATATATATATATATATATATATATATAATAAAAATATATGGCGCAAAGTTACAAATAAGCATTTCTCTTCCAGCGTTATCATTTGAAATCAATTCTCTGAAACCAGAACTGTGAAGAAGCAATTTTTATAACAATATCCATTACCCTGCAACTTTTTCTTCTTGTTTTCAACCCAGTTACTGAGAGAGAAGATGCCTACCATGAGAAATGAAGGTATAAGGCATGGTCCCCAGCCAACCTAGTAATGAGTACGCAGTGCTGTAAAGTTTAAAGTTAGGAAGAAGCATTTTCATAGTGTATCTCGGCTTTAGAGATCCTGTAGACCGTTCATTTATGGTGAAAGGTATCTTCAAACTTTCTGAAACAAAATCTCTTTGTTTCCTAGTTTTAAGATATTGAAGATTCTCTTGCGACGCTGAGAAGATCTTACAAGTGTCTCCAATCTTTCAGTTTTGTTCAATGTTAATCACAACACAGCTCAAGCCAGTTCGAATGTAAACCGATTTTTCATATATTTTCCTTAAATTACTTCATTAAACTTTGGAAGTGAATTAAGTAGATAGAAAACCTTCTCCTTTGAAATTTTGATCTGATGTTACAAGGAAAAGATAGTATGAAAAGTAATTCTCTTTAATGGTGCATTATACTTCATCTGAGTGCCTTTTTCATCATATTTTCATTTCGTTGTTTGATACTTGTAATTTCCCATTGCTTGGTACACAGTCGACTTACTCAACCTCTGTTCTCAGATGGGCTCCTCTACGAATGCCTCTATACTGACGAATATTCACTATGTTGTGTTCATCTTGATGGCAAGCAGTGGAATCCAAGACGAGCAATTAGTTCTATTTGGGACTCGTCAGCTGGATGTACCAGCACCTCACTAAGTGTTGCTCCTACTGAGACTCCAACCCAGTACCTTTTGCTTCAATCTAGTGGATAACGTTTTGGTATTTGAAGAGATGGATACTAGGCTCGAGTTTCAGTGGGAATAGCATAGTCCACTGGATCCAGGTACATCCAGCTGACAAGTGCTAAACAGGATGTAACGTGTGTCCTGGATTCCACTGATAGTCACCAAGATGAACATTTCTCTTTTATTTATATCCATTTAAGGAATCTCTCTATCATTGTATAGGATTTCTGAGACTGTTGTACATCACCTTTACTGTTCATGGAAATCACCTTTTTCATTCCATACTGATTGTCTCTTCATGACTAGATGTGTAATTTCACTGAATTTCAACTCAATATTTTCATTGATGTTGACGTTCACATTTCAAGTATGTATTTTGCAGTTTCAGAATTTGCGATTTCCATAAAAAATATTCAGCAAATTTTATAGAGTGAATGCGACAAAATTATGAAGTACTCACATTACAAGCGCCCCATGCAACAAGACAACTCTCATTCATAGGACTGGAGCCAACTTTTGCCTGACAGTGGATACCTGTGCATATATTTTTAAAAAAACAGCATCAATATCTCGTACCATGTAAGAACTAACCAAGTGAACATGTAGAGGGAACAATTAAAGAAATTACTTTTCATGATTAGGCTTAGTTACAGCTAGTTCACGAAAGTAATCAACTTAAAAAGCCTTCTCACCCTAAGCAAATCACTAGAGTTCACTTCGATTCTGACAGAGGTTCTAATCACACTTCCTAATATTGTCTCCAGGATTAGAGTTGTTAGGGGTTCTGACGCCCTGATCATGGCGTAATCACTTTGAGGCCTACTCCAGTAATATTTGTCGGGGTTATCCAACAAATGAAATCAATAATAACCAGAAAATAAAATCGGTTGCCATTTGATAGATTTCTTAAATAATATTTATAATTATGACTAATAAATAAAACGATCTTTTTTGTATAAATGCTGACCACCAATGGTTTTCTTATTTCCTTGTATGTAGATAAATGTGCAGCAACTGCACAAACCACTCTACTAACTATTATATAAGTAAGTTTTAATGTAATTTCAGCGTGTTTTCATTGATTCATCGACCAGTTAAATTGTTTATTCTTCATTTTCTTCACAGTAATGAAACATCATTGGCGAATAAAACTGTTTGACCATAGCAGTTTATGGAAGTCAAAGCTGAGAAACATTGTGCTAAAGTTTGCAGCAGTTTTATTCAATTGTTCATCTGAAATTACTACCGAAGGTCACTTAACGGATAAAATATGAGTTAAAAACAAAGTTTAGGTCCCAGGTGGACAAAATGGTAGCACTTCTAAGCTGCTTCACTTGGTCACATCATTCACAAAGATAATATCGACTGAAGAAGAGGATGTTGAGATCCAAAAGAATAGTCTGAGAAATAAGAGAACAAATACGTAACGCTTAAAAAGGTACTTTTAATTTTGTAAATGATAAGGACCAGAATGCATTCCCACAAACGCGATCAAGTTTTAACCAAATTAAGTAGGGTTTCGATTTTTTAATTCCTGACATCTCAAGGGCCTCAACCATGTATTCATGGTTCAAACAAATAGGCAGTGACCATGAATTTGTTCATTGTCTTGTTCTGAACGGCTTTTGCTTTCTCCTAATCTAATCACATCTCTGCTATAGGTTTGGACTATATAAAGAAGAACGTGGCTAAGTAGAACCACTATCGTCAATGTCATACTACTTTTGTAAGTTAAACCGGGAACTAATAGGTATGGTTGTGTATTGGCCATGAATTATTATATAATTCAGCAAGTTAGTATTTGATTCATCTATGTAGGGAACTTACAAATGCTGGATTTGAGTAGTTAGAGGATGGTTCAACTAACACAAGAAAGACGGACAAATGCATGTTAAGTCAGGCACGGAATTAAATAGTTTCAATTCGGTATTCTTCACGTGAGCATGGAAAGAAGAAATGGAGAGAAATACCGACGGTAGATAATGTCTATTCTATAACAGAAAATTTTTTTTACCTTCATTGAAGAAAGAAAATCAGGTTAAAGAGTACAAAAAATACAATCAAGCAACAATATGTTGGCTTCAAGTAATAACGCGCCAGTTGGATTCACTTCCTTGAACATAGTCAATTTTTCCTTTGTAATAATCAGTTACAATCAGGCGTGCATATATACACGATATTATTACCACAAACACCAGTAACTTACATAAACTCATCAATACATTACGACATATTACGCACGTATCATGCACAACATCCCAAGACCAGCATGCACATGCGTCCCACCGCTTGATTTGAAAATGTTTGCTAAGTAAATCACTGGATTTCTGTGATATAGGTAAACCATCTGAATTGCTGGCAACTTCATTCTCACTGTTTAGATTGTCGTTCGCTGGTGATGCCATCAAATGATTGGTTCCATCAATGGCATTCTTCGAATTAGCACTAGGTCCTTGAGAAACGCCATTTGTTGCCGGTTGTGTAATCTCTCCACCCATTTCCCGGTCTCGTCCAGCATTCACAGTGGGATGATGTTTCTTTTAAGCCAATGCATGCATTCCTGAGCATGTAATTACTTGAATCCAACTCCCTTCAGTTCACTTATAATGTGAATATATCGAACAATTTGACGCAACAATTCACTATTGAATCGATAAACGAAATCATTTGAAAGATCATGTGACTGCTTTTTATCTAATTACAATTAATTGTCTTATAATAACCAGCGCCGATCTCAACACTACTATGTTACTTATTTCTTCGTTTGTTGTAATGGCACATCTATCATTTGTGCTCAAACTTCTATACATATTTAGACGGCTTTTCTTAACATATTTTTCCGTCTGGTGCTATACATACGAGGAGAAAACTTAAGGTTTTCTGACATTTGATTAGGACTATGTGTAAAGTCATCCTAAATACTACATGATGAGCTAATGTTTGAATTCTGAGACACACGAGCACTTATTTTTAGTATTTGCCTGATATGGATTCAACATAAAGCGATTCTTTTCCATTTCTTCTCACTTCAGTGTTTTTTTATTGTAATTGGTGGCAGACTACCTAATGGAATGTTTTGAAGCAAACGTGGATATTGTACGCAAAGTTGAACTCGTTGTGATAAAACTCCGTTTATGAATAAAAAAAATGTGACTACATACAAATTGAAGGAAGGTTGTACCGAAAAATATACCCCAATAAGTAAGAATTTTACATGCGTGGTGACTGAGGTGAGATGTGTACTTGCTGAGTCATCGGTTCAAGTTTTCTTCTTTTTCCTTCCAGATTCTCATGGTCACCATAAAACTCACACTTGTCTACTAGCCACCATGCAATGGCATGCCTCCGTGCAGGGTAGAAGTGAACTTGTCAACTACTGGTAGTTACATTTTGGTGTTAGAACTTGGATCCGGCTCATTCATGATCAGAACGAAGTACACTTAAAAGTAGCCATTCCTTCGAATGTAACACAAACCAGCTTCACACACCATGCCTAGCCTCTAACTCACCCAGGTATACTAAAGCACTGGGATAGTACTTCATCACCGGGGAAGAAGTGTAACGTACTTAAAACTTTACTCACCCACTTTCCAGTTTCGATTTCTAGACTGCGTCACCTCTTTATTGTCAAGCTTTGCTGTTTGTCAAGTATCTTTTACGAATAAATTTAAGTATATCCTGTCTACTTTCTGAATCATAGGCTCATATTTTTCCCTTCCTTTTTTCCACTCCATATTCTCGAGTTTACCACTAAACTCACACTTCTCAACGAGCTCCCCTGAATTAATGCACCTACCTAAAGGCTAGAAAAAACTACTAACACCCGGTCGTTACAGATGCTCAACTGCACTAAAGATAATACTAATTATTAAATAAACCATAGTTTTTAGCTGAGGGCATTATAGTCAGACATGTCATGAATCTATCAAGTCACTAGCTGTTGTTGTGTGCCATATAATGGGGTGTAGACAACATAAACGGAATCCCTGAGATACAACGCTTTGGTTTTTGAACACAAATGGTCATACTACTAAAGATATTTCATGGTCAGCCAAGTGTAATTTAATCCTTACGTTTACTCGAACCTTCCTGAATTCATTTATTCTTCACAAATATGATTATTGTTAGTTTCAATATTTGTCGACGTTTGATACATCTAATGCTGCGTGGTGTAGCAGCTTCAGCCAATGCTTTTTCGTACGTTGAGCTCTGCAGATTCATTTGTTCACCTTACCCGATTTCTGCCACTAGTGGTAGATCAAACTGTGCACTTTGGTGTATCTGTCCCTCACTCTTTTGATTGGGCAACGAAATTATCAGTGATATTCCGTACAAACTTGATTTATTATGTATATATATACATACTTTCCTTTAACAATTATTTTTTTCAACTTGAGTATCTGCGATTTAACGATGACCATCTAAATAATCAAACAGTTTATACATTTTTGGAAATGCTAACTCATCTCATGTTTAACCTCCGTCAAGGTGTTTATAATTTTTCATTAACAGTAACACCATAGTTGGAATATCCTGACTAGTAAATTTCCATCACACCTTTCTCTTAAAGTATGCAGTAATCAGGTATAAGGTTTCAACAATTGTGCACAAATACGAAGCTGATATAGTCACCGTCTTGAATAGTTTCCTTTTGATTTTAGATATGAAAATATCCTTGGAAATATTCCTCGAGTCAATTTAGTGATCTTTGATGGGAGAGAAGGTTAGAGGTATGAAACGGAGTCTGTTACGAAACATTCAGTTTCTGAAGAGAATCAGAAAGCTAAGTCCGCGCAATGAGCTGTGGTTAGTGAAAGTTAGTTGGCGATGGTAATAAGTAGAAGCAATCTCATTGCTTATTTTAAAAATTGGTGCAGTCAAAGAAGCTGGTATTCTCCTCATGGATCGTTTGGATTACAACACAAAAATGGTCTCTATCCTATCAGATATGAGTAAATTTCCAAAGAGTCTGCTCAAGATGATGCTATTGAACAAATTGAGCGAAAGCCCATCCAAATTCTAAAGAAAATGAAGAATGAGTCTATCATCAGCCCGAACTATTCGAGCAGTTGCGACCTTCTGGTTCTGTTACTCCTCGCTTATATGGTCTCCTGAAAGTCCACAAAGAAAATCTTCCTCTTCGTCCAGTTTTGGACATGAACAATTCACCATATCATTCTATCACCAAGTGGCTGTCTGACGTCCTCCAGCCAGTTAGAAAACAGCTAAACACACATAGCTTATTGGATTCCTTCGAATTTGTCAACTCAATGTCAATATATCCGGTAAGCGAATGATTTCTCTGAACGTGGTCTCGCTCTTTACTAATGTCCCACTCACGGAAACTATCTGCTTTCTATGTGAGTTCATTGAAGATAATAATGTTCAAGTGGATATCCCAAAGCATTATTGAAAGGAATTGCTTCTAAGATGTACTTTCAGTGTGCAGTTCAAATTCAACAAGGATCTACATAGACAAAAGGATGGGGTTGCTATGGGGTCGCCACTTAGACCGTTGCTGGCTGACTGCTTTATGGCGAAGCTAGAGAATGGCGTACTGCATTCATCAATTGGTAGTTTCTACCTATATAAAAGACATATGGATGATACATTCATCATAATCGATCAAAGTACAGATATTGAAACTGTAGTTAAAACGTTCAATGATTGTCACCCATCGATCAGCTTTACATGAGAATTTGAAGAGAACTCGGAATTCCATTTTATCGATGTTTTATTGAAAAGGAGACCAGATGGTTCCCTTCAGAGATCAATTTATAGGAAGCCTACTTGGAACGGACAATATTTGAATTTCCCCAGCTGGATGCCTCTCAGCAGAAAGAATCAATAGAATCTGCACCAGTGATACTATTGAGGAAGAATTAGATAAACTACAGAAGATTCTCATGCAAAATGGATATCCATCCAGATTTATCGATAAGAACTTGAAAGTAAATCAGAATACGGAGCGAGTACTCAAACTTCCTAAGAAGACCTTGTTTATGAAAGTTGTTTTCAAAGGCGATACGGCAGCAGAGATCCTGAAGAAGCGGTTATCCAGATCACTGAAGAAGACATTCTTCTCTGCAAAACTGCAGATCAGCTTCTCTAGTCAACAACTCATTCTGGAGTGCTTTAAGGACAAGTTACCACTTTGGGCCAACTCGATGTGTGTCTACAAATTTACTTGCTCCTGTGGAGCTAGTTATATAGGCCGCACAAAGCTCATGCTTTCCAAAAGTATCTCAGAGCACTATCCTGCATGGTTGTCGAGGGGAGAATGTAAATCAATTAACAGTTCAATTCTTGAACATTTGGTCAACTCTGGACATAAAGCTAGACCAGAATCTTCCTCCAATGTCATTTATCATGTCAGATGGAATTGTTTAAAAGAAGTACGCCTTCTACAGTTGTACAAAGCAGAGGTACTGGCAATTCATCAATTCAAGCCTGATCTCTACGTGCAAAAGAAGTATGTTCAACCTCTCATCTTACCATGGTCTTAACACTTTCATTTTTTTCCATTTCATTATAATTGATTAGTTTATTATTATCGCCTTCATTATGACCCTTGTCTCATTCTTCACCTTCTTTACACCTATCTTTCAAGTGGACACTCAATATTTGCGTTTCTTATCTACCAACAATTTTCACCTTGTCAAACTCCTCGCTTTCCTCGATATTTTTACCGTCTTAGATTATTACGCAACTACTTTGTATTCTTGATTCAGTTTTTTTGTAGCACTTGGTTAATGATGTGACTATACCCTATTGTTTGATGATAGACTGTAATATGTTTATGATATACATAAATACGATTGTTCAGCTTTAGAAAATGATATCGTCGAAAAAGAAGATTTTCTTCGCTGAATTATCTCTTCTCTGTAGCTGGAAGCATATAAAACTAAGTGTCACAATATTTATTAGTTATTAAGACATGTATTAATTTTAAAGTACCCTGTTTTAATTGTTACTTTAATTTGGTGATATCTGATGTTTAATAACAATCTGTATCACTTGATCATTAAAAGTCTTGTACATTGAATTTTTTCTCAACTTGCATCTTAAAATCAGTTAAATGTGAAAAGTAAATATTAAATTTATGTGCACAGAATGTTTTATTTAGTGTAGCTCATTGTTCATAATTAAACTTCATGAAATCGCAAAATAATTACACATTCAGTTACTCAATAATACAGGAGAAATATTATGTTTAGCTTTATTTTATCCAATTAAAAATAGACTAATCGCAATGTCTTGGATAAAAATTGCTTCGATATTGGACGAATACGTATAAAGATTCCTTTCTCTTCATTTTCTTTCATATTGACGAAGAGCGTAAATGATAACTTATTATTTGACAACCAGTTACTTTACGCTTACTGTTACTTGACTATTAACTAAATGGTAGTCTTCAAATGAATCAGAAAATTTCTGCTTACAAAAGTCATCTATTGAAGAGAAGAAGCTGTTCTACATTTTATGTCGAGATATTCAGTTTTTTCACATATTAATCAAGCTCTTATCTTGAAAAAGGTAAACACCAGTCACTTGGAAGTAGTTGCTATTTGGATGGGTCATAACAGTTCCCTTACAATGTGACTTTATGATTGATACCACTTTCCAATAAATGCGCGAACATCCTAAATATCACTGGA